CAGGGATGGAAGGACTTTGGCAGGGAGAGAAGGACTTTGTCAGGGAGAGAAGGACCTGGGGAGGGGTTACTTAGTGTCTTTGGTGGGGTGTCTGTAAGGAACTTTCTCAAGGTGTTACTCGGGTCAAGGTCTTACTCGAGTCAAGGTTTTTACTTGGGTCTAGATCTTCCTCGGGTCAAGGTCTTCCTCGGGTTAAGGTCCTACTCGGGTGAAGGTCTTACTCGGTCTTACTCGACAGCATCTCTTAGTCTTCCTAAAGTATTTCACATATTCATTGGTAACAAATTGAGACGTCTGTTGTATGAATAATGACTAGATATTCTCAGACTCTTCGGCCTCTTACCTCCACCACCACACCCCCACCACTTACCCACCTCTCCCCACCTCCACCCCACCTACCACTCACCTCCACCTCCACCACCCACCTCTCACCACCTCACCTCCACCCTACCCCACCTCACCCCACCTCCACCTCCACCTCACCTCTCACCTCCACCTCACACTCATCACCACCCACCTCACCTCCACCTCTTACCTCTTACCACTCTCCCTCACCATCTTCTACTTCCACCTCCACCTCTCCATCCACTCCCACCACCCACCACTTCACCTCAATCCACCTCCACTCCTATCCACTCCACCTCCACCCCACCTCCACCTCCCCACCTCACCTTCCACCTCCCACCCCCACCGCTCACCACTTCACCTCCACCTACCACCTCACCTCCCCACTTACCACCCATCTTACCTCTACCACCTCACCTCTTACCTCTACCACACTCCTTACTCCTCCACTTACCCCTTACCTCTACCACCTCACCTACCACTCACTCTTACCTCTTACCTCTTACCACTTACCTCTTACCACTTACCTCTTACCTCTTCCTCTACCACCCTCTACTTCTACCCTCTTAACTTGTGTTCCTCTTACCAAATTTCTTATTCCAGTAAATCACTAAATTTCTCTTCATGGTAGGGAGGAAGCTTTCAGGTTAGGTTAGGCTGGGCTAGGTTAGGATAGGTTGGGTTGGGTTAGGTTGGGTTAAGTTAGGTTGCTAGTTATTGGATAGGTTGGTTAGGTTGCTGTTAGGTTGGGTTAGGTTGGGTAAGTTAGTTGCTGTTAGGTTGGGTATGATGGGGACGTAAATGTGAGATTAGTCTAAGCAAAGTTCTATCCACCATTCTAGCTGTGATTTATTCCTTAGAGACCAAATGAGTTGAAATTCCTCTCCACTGAGCATGAGAGTGTTGTCTGGTGCACACTGAGAGGTTGGAGTGTGTGATCCTCAGTGTCTTTAATGGTGGAGTTTTTATCTGTTTTAGAGGACGATGAGAATCTTACCTTTGTATTGTGATCGACGTCTTGGGGGCAGTGAGCACGGTGCCTGGGGATATGTTGTATATACAGTATATATACTTGGAGGATGACCTGTGTTGAGGGTTATATACCTGAAGGATGACTTGGGTTGTGTATGGCGTACTTGGTAGATGAACTGAGTTGAGGATGACCTACCTGAAGGATGACCTGGTGTTGAGGACCTGCTTGAAGGATGACCTAGTGTTGAGGACCTGCCTGAAGGATGACCTAGTGTTGAGGACCTACCTGAAGGATGACCTGGTGTTGAGGACGACCTGAAGGATGACCTAGTGTTGAGGACCTACCTGAAGGATGACCTGGTGTTGAGGACCTACCTGAAGGATGACCTGGTGTTGAGGACCTACCTGAAGGATGACCTAGTATTGAGGACCTACCTGAAGGATGACCTAGTGTTGAGGACGACCTACCTGGAGGAGGGCCTAGAGTTATCATGGAGGCTCCACACGTCCTGCTGGGAGCCTCTGGATGTGGAGTCTAACATGGCCAGGCTGACGGGTGCCTCTCTGCACTTCAGTTCTCCGCTGATCCTCACGTGTAGGAAGGTCACCAAGGCCAGCGGCAGAGCGTACCTGGGGTGGAGAGGAGTGTTAAGAGGGCGTAACTCCTCCACCCACAGTACCACACCCACCTCCTCCACCCACACATACAAACACGTATTGTAGACTCATGTTTAGGGTGACGCAAGGTATGGAGTGACACAGGGTATGAAAGTGACGCAGGGTGTGGGGTGACGCAAGGTGTGGAGTGACGCAGGGTATGAAAGTAACGCAGGTTGTGGGGTGACGCAAGGTGTGGAGTGATGCAAGGTGTGAGTGCCGCGGTATGGAAGGTCACATAAGTTGCACCTCATAATTATTGCCGCGTATATATATTATTTTCCCTCCAGAGACTCGACTTTACAACGTTCATAATCCTAAAATTCCTGGACCTTGGGACAGTCTGAATGAAAGCCAGAGTAATGTTGACTGTGTTGGAGGAAGTTATTTTATTATTATTATTATTATTATTATTATTATTATTATTATTATTATTATTATTATTATTATTATTATTATTAGTAGTAGTAGTAGTAGTAGTAGTAGTAGTAGTAGTCGTATTATTAAGACGTGTTCATATTTAAATGTGAGGTTTGCCCACTGGATAAATTCACAACATTACATAGTTCTTTCAAATATTAACATACATATTACAAAGTTTTGAAATTCTTTGCAATATGTAAACGAAAATATTATTCTTGCAAAAGTTGACTTACCTTCCAGCTGGAGCAATATATATTTGTATCTTGTAGCTGTTGTATGACTTCCCTCCACCCTAATGTAAATACCACAACAGTTTTTGTTAACATGTATTATATTTTTCCAATTTTTTTCTTGTTATGTAAGAGAACCGACGTTTATAAATCGAGGTTTTGACAGCCATATTCGCCTTACCTCACTTATTAGTTTTGCCACATGTTCCTGAATTTTGAGTGTAGGGTGTGTAGGGGAAGTGGTAGTGTAGAGGGTAGTAGGGAGTGGTAGTGGGGAGTGGTAGTAGGGGAGTGGTAGGGGAGGGGAGTGGTAGTAGGGGGGGAGGTAGGGGAGTGGTAGTGTAGGGGTGGTAGGTGGAAGTGGGGGTGGTGTGGGGGAGGGTAGGTGTAGGGGGGTGGTAGTGTGGGGGAGGGTAGTGTGGGGAGGGTAGTGGGGAGTGGTAGTGTAGGGGAGGGTAGTGTGGGGGTGGGAGTGGGTGTGGGGAGTGGTAGTGTGGGGAAGTGGTGGTGTAGGGGAGGGTGGTGTAGGTGGAGTGTGGGGAGTGGTAGGTAGGGGGTGGTGGTGTGGGAAGGGTAGTGTAGGGGGGGGTGGTGGTAGGGGGGGTAGGGGTGGCAGTGTAGGGGAGGGCAGTGTAGGGGGAGGGTAGTGTAGGGGAGGGAAGTGGTAGGGAAGTGGTAGGGAGTGGGGGGGGAGGGTGGGGAGGTGGGGGAGGTAGTGTGGGGTGGTGGTGTGGGGAGGTAGTGTAGGGGGGAGTGGTAGTGTAGGGGAGTGGTGTGGGGAGGGGTAGGGGAGGGGGGAGGGTAGGGGGGGGAGGGGGAGGGTAGGAGGGAGGGAGGGGAGGGGGGGGAGGGTAGTGGGGAGTGGGTAGGGGAGTGGTAGTAGGGGAGGTGGGGAGGGTAGTGTAGGGGAGGGTGGGGGTGGTTGTGTGGGGAGGGTAGGGAGTGGGGGTGGGGGATGGTAGTGTAGGGAAGTAGTGTGGAAGTAGTGTGGGGAGTGGTAGTGTAGGGGGAGTGGCAGTGTAGGGGGAGTCTTGTCTCCATCACTGGCGGGGTATTAAGGGTCACCAATCTATACCCACCTGTGAATGGGTACTAAATTACACAGGTGATGAAGGCTATTGAACGTACAGTAGTATGGGCCACGCTGCCTCCTTATACGCCGAAGGTTTTAGTAGTTAGTCAGTGTACTGTATCCGCACCGCCCCTAACAGATCTTCAGTCCTTTACAATCCACTTTCACAAGATCCTGAAGATGTATGTATATAACACTTAGAATATGCGGCTCTAGTGTGACGTACTTTCCCTCTCGGCATACCAACAGATGAACCTAACCTAACCTAACCTAACCTAACCTAACCTAACCTAACCTAACCCACTGAGGCACTGCAGGTATGTTGTGGGTTTATAAATCTCTTACAAAATACACATCGTCATTAGCCTCACTAAGACATCGTCACTAGACCAATTTAGATTACAACAGGAAGATCTGCAGTCACAAAATAGATTCCAAAGTCTTTTTGTTTGTTTCCTCTGATATTTGTGTTGTTCTGAGCCAAGATATTCGTGGCTTAGGAATTCGTTTTATAACAAATTAATATATGTGAGATGAGGAAGCAGATGATTTTAGAGAGAGAGAGAGAGAGAGACCCACCCACCGTATTGAAGAGGTTAAAGCGTTCATTCCTCTCTTATCTGTTCTCTGTTCTCTGTTCTCTGCTCTGTGTTCTCTCTTTCTATCTAATCACATTGTGTCTTTCTACCTTCTCTCCTCGTCTCTTCTATCTCCATTAAATTTTCTTTAATCTCTCTCTCTGGCGTTACAAACTACTAATGCTAAGTACTGTCTATCCTTTCATGTGTTCCAGGATAAATAATTTAATCATTTTTTTTTTAATTTATTCTAATCATCATCATCATCATCATCATCATCATCATCATCATCATCATCATCATCATCATCGGGCACACCTAACCTCACACCATTAAACACACAAAATAAAATCCTTCCACCCTTTTTACTTTCGCTTCACAGTTCTCTTATTCTAAATTATTCGCTTTTTAAAACTCTTCTGAATATTGTTTTGCTTTCCTCGTGTGGGTCTCATATGATGCTTCCATATGAGAATAAAAGGGAATATATTTGACCCCATTTGACCCCGTAAGACTTAGGTCAGGTCACACAGGTAGTATAGTCCTCACATATTTTTTTTTTTAGTGTCACATCAGATCATAATACACATCTCTGACTGATCACTTCATCTCTCGTGTTTCTTTCTTTTAACTGTTTGGTATCCCAGCCTTTGATGCCTTCCAGAGAGATACTGATATTTATTGTTGTCATTGAATTTGTATGCATAAAGTTCACAAGTGACGAAACTAAACAACATGTGCCAGCGGACTAAGGCTTATATACAGGTTTCAATATCGCCATCCTGTATTACCTGTCAGATGAGCTGTTTTATATTTTTTAACACAGAGTCTTTGTATTTCTCTGTCTGTCTAGTTAATTCTGACGCTGTCTCTCTGTCGCCGTCTCTTTAAACTGGACATTGATCCATTACCCTAGTGAGTCTCTTGTATATATTTGATGTCAATAAACAATTACAAAAATATTTATTCGAGAATTTCAATTACAATCGATTTCAGTTGACAGACAAAAGTTGATGATTTATTTTGATTCATTGGAGGTAAAGTTCTGTAACTCGTTTATATTAGTGTGTTTGTCTCACCTGCACAGTACATCTCTCCTGCTGTGTACCTGCAGGCCTCCAGGCAGGTGTGTCATTAGGAAACAGAACCTCGAAAAAAATTCAAGCGCTTCCGTGATTGGATCTGCATATTATATGAATCACTAGTCTTGTTTCCTGTATATTTTTGCAAACACACACACACACACCCACACACACACACACACACACACACACACACACACACACACACACACACGACAAGGCTACTGGGTTTACTCAACAACACAATGAGATCAGAGGTATACTCACAGGGCAATAAACAGGCCACGGATATACTCGTCTATATCGTCTCCCAGGTTGACTGTACAGATGCCGACACCTTCAAACTGCTTCCCGAACAACCCCTGTAATGATACACAATTGCACGTTAATAATAATAATATAATAATGATATATGAGCCGTCAGTGATATCTGTTTCTACATATTCAAAACTGTTGACTCTCTCTCTCTCGCATGAAATAAGGAAATTAATGTAAATAAGATATAAAATAAGTCGTATCAGGTTGGGTAAGTCTGGTAACAAGGACGCTCAAACACACAGTAAAACACGGTTCCAATATCTGAAATTTCCTGGAGCTGACAAGAGATGCGTGGGTCGGAGTCTTCCTACCGATCTCGGGTTGAAATGTTCTCATATTTTACGTCAACAGCAGCGATTGAGGTCACCAAGACTCCAGACTCTTAAAGCTTAGTATTTTTTTTTTACCCTTTTGTAACTGGGATTAAGAACCCGTAAAGTCTGAATGCAGTTTTGGTCTCATTTTGTCTTCCATTTATCTCCGTTAGCTGTTTTGGTGTCATTTTAGCTTCCATTTATCTCTCTTAGCTTAAGTGGCCTTGATAAATACACTTTCACATAAGTAATTAAAGTCGACGTTTCAGGTTGGATTCTCAGGCACCCGTCTTCCTATTTAGTGTGCTTACCACTTCTCTTATAGATCAAAAACGACCAAATATTCCTCCCCGAAAGTTAAATTATATTTCTATAAATAATCGAGGAGTATTATAAGTGTGTGACGTCATTCGCAATTGTAGGTTGGAAGTTGTTTGCCAAGATGAAATTGCAGTTCATACAATGATTCCGATTTCTTTTCGTAATAACAAGGCGCTGTATGACGCCAGGTAGGCAAAATGGAAATAGCCATGTTGTTAGCTTAGGTAACTACCACCACAGTAACTTACAGTATGCTTCCATGCCACTACTTAATACCACATGTTCCACACCTAAACGAGGTACTTCAGAAGGAATATTAGTGAAGTCTCTACACTTAACCTGATGAAACGTGCACCTGTATGGAGAGGGAAGGTGAGGAGGTAACCTGGTAGGGCGGGAGGGAAGGGAGGGAGGGAAGGAAGGGAGGGAGGGGAGGGAAGGGAGGGAGATAGAAAAGAGGGAAGCAGTAAAGGTGGGTAATTGGGTGAGAAGTAAGGAAGGTAAATAAGTGTGGGAGGAAGTGCAGACGATAATAATAGATTGGGAAATGTATAGCCAAAGTTTACCCCATAAGAGATATATACTGCACACACACACACGCACACACACACACACACACACACACACACACACACACACACACACAGGTGGTCGCACAGGGCTGGTGGTTATTTTGCTATGAATATGAGGAACTTGGGAAACACGAGAGGCTATTCAGTAGGTCAACCGAGAATGCATTCTCATTATTTTTCGCTGTGTAAGTGTGCGTGTGTGTGTGTGTGTGTGTGTGTGTGTGTGTGTGTGTGTGCTCGTGTACAAGTCTTTATCACTGGACAAAACCCATATTCAACATCACAATACATCCATCTGTCTCCATCTCCCTTTCCTTCATCTCTTCTCATTCCCATATTTACTCTATTTTCTCACCTCCCCTTTCATTCTATATGTATATTCTCCCACAACTCCTTTTTATTTCTCCTATTTTCCTAATTTTAATTTTTTTTTCACTGTTTATTTTCAATGTTTTGGTGGAGGACAGATAAACACGAGTCAATGCTCTCATATATAGATAAAACCCAACCACCAGCCCTCACTTCACCCACTCCCTGCCCACTCTTGCCCACCGCCCACTTCTGCCCACTCCTACGCCCACACTTCCCCCACCCACTTTCTGCCCACTCCCACGCCCACTTACCCGAGACTCTCACCCACTTAAATTTACCCCCCACACCTATTCCCCCCACCCACTCCCCCACCCACTCCCACACCCACGCCCCCGCCCACGCCCCCGCCCATACAATGACATGAATAAGAGCAAATGTGTGTATAAGATGAAGGGCATAGGAATTGAGGCCTTGAGATGCAGAATACACACGTGGGAAAACTTTCGTGGTTGTGGGGGATTTCCTGTGGTGTGTGCAAGTGGTTGTCTGTGTGTGATTGATGGTGGTGTGCGCAAGTGGTTGTCTGTGTGTGATTGATGGTGTGTGAGTGTGGCTCTCTGTATGTGAGTCTTAGTATGTGAGATATAATACGTATTGTGAGTGAATTTGTTTTCATTGTTTTCAAGATTGTGTGACATATATGAAACTGAGTATCTCCTTATTTCTCTCTGTCTCTCTCTCTTCTAAGTCTCCTCTCCTCTTATCTCTCTCTTTCTCCCTCACCTCCTTCATATTTGGGAAAGGAGAAAAGTACATAATAAAACTCAATGTTAACAGTAAATGGAGGAAAATTACACCATTACTTGAGGGTTAATACGCTACTTTATCACCTGATTTTCATACGTTATTCCCGAGTTCAGAGTTTGTAGAGCCCAAGTTAAGGGTCATTATCCCTTGGTTTAAAGATCGTTAGGTCCTTCAGGGTATTCTAGGAACTCCTTTGAGGGTATATCACTGGAGCCCCGTTTGACACTGTGTTGGTATAAGGTTCATTCTCTCTTGATGAAGTGGAATATTTTTTATTTTTTATTGTTTTTGCTGAATATAAAGGATCTGTGCTCCCTAAAATGGCTTGGGTCGTTAGTTTTATGTTGTGATTCCATTTTTCCATTGTTCCGTTGTTCCGTGGTTCCGTTGTTCCGTTGTTCCGTTGTTCCGTTGTTCCGTGGTTCCATTGTTCCGTGGTTTCGTTGTTCCGTTGTTCCGTTGTTCTGTTGTTCCGTGGTTCCGTTGTTCCGTTGTTCCGTCAAGCTACACCTTCACTTCTGGACGCCTTCGTAATCGCTATTTATATTTATGTCGCCTTTCACCACACTCGAAGACTCAACAGCCACTGAGTCTCTCCCAAGTCCAAAGATTTTCCTCTTAGGTGATGTAATTTTCTTTTAGTAGACAAGGCAATTTTCTGGTAGCCTTTTTCTTACCCTTGTCCACTGTGTAATGTAAGTGAGCACTGCTGGACTCTCCTCTCACTCAGGCTTGGCACGCGAGAGTTCAGGGATATTCTAGTCTAGGAGATTGTGATAGTGGTCAACGTTACAACAGTCGTGTAAACATGAAGAAATGAGGCGCGTGTGTGTGGGGGGTGGGGGGGGGGGGGCTGACACGTGTCCCAGTCCTCTTGCCTTTGACAGATTTATTGGAAAAAACAAGCAATGCTTTCTGGGAACTGGACGTTGATCTTTGTTTTCACCCATAAGTGTTTATCTCTTCACTTGTGTTTAACGTCATAAATATTGAGTTAACATAAACATTTCAACAGCCCCAGAACGTAAAACATAGTACATATTATAATCCCGGGCAGAACAATGCATCACCAGGTAGCACAAAGGAATACCAGCCCTAAAAACCAAGTGGCTTTACTACAAGTATTTACAATAGAAGTTTGTAATGGTCGGTCCAATTACCTGTCTGGTCTTTATTACCTTCAAAATTGTCAACACGTTTGGAGGTCCGACACCAATCAGCTGTTCCATATGTCTACAACTCACTATTGAAAAGATGTTTTGTGTGACTCTGTGTCTTGAATATCCTGAACCTTTAACTTATATCATTATCATCGTTTGGTTGTTTTATGATATACGTCACCTTAATACCTTCATTATTATCTGTATGTTGTATTGTGTGTGATAGGAACAGTTTTGGATGCAGATATTTCTAGTTGTACCCTGTAAAAAAAAAATGGGGGAGATTATTGAATATTTTTTGGGATAAATCTTTCTATCTTATCCACTGGAGAAAACTCTGGATATACCACTACTGTAGAAGGGTGGTTGTGTGGATATGATACCCCCCCCCCTCCCCACCCACCCTCCTCCCTCCTCCCTCTCATTACAACTGAGTTCTTATTGCTTAGTTCTGGAGACAGTTCACTAGGAGTAAGTAATTGCCTTTAGTAAGTAATTTACTTTAGTCCTTATTGATTTCTTTTATTGTGACAGTAGTATAATATATATTTTCACAGGAGTTTTATTTAAGAGTGTCAATAACTGTTTGTATCTAACACTGGTTTATGTCTTTACAGGTCGAGACATCAGTACAAGGTAAGTAAACATTGTGTTGGTTTTAAAGGTGTTAGGTATCATTATAATAGGTCTTGCAGTTTTCAGTTTTGAACTTTCAAGTTAAAAATAACAGATATTTAACGAGTAAACACACCGGTATCATCGTAGTTGTGATGGGTTATAATACTGAGCCTTGCTTTATCCGGGAGCAGAGTTTAGAGTATATTTTTTCTTGCATGCATCTTACTAACACTGCTGACCGTTCAGTACCGGAAACCTCGCGGTGGTAATGTCAGGTACTGAGATAAATCAAGGCTGTAGCGATGATAGCTTTAAGGTTAGGTTAGGTTAGGTTAGGTTAGGTTACAGTGTCTTGGTTTAAGTAATAGTATAACTAACACTTAGAATTTCTGTAGTGTTTGTGTTTCAGATGGAGGTAAGGTTCATGTGTTTTACTACAATATAAATGCTATGTTTTTTTTCAGTTACAGATGAAGTGCATTTGTATAGGCCGTATGCTTGTTCACCAGAAAATGTTAAGTTTATTTTAGAGGAATTTAAAGTTCATGTCTTTACATTGCAACACAAATGCAATGTTCTTTTTTTCTGGTGCACATAACATACATATGCATTTCAATGTATGACATGCAAATTTTATTTTCAGAGGAAGAATATGTTCCTATGTATTTTTCCATTTATCTTAAATTTAATGTATATTTCAATTGAAGGTAAGAGTTTTGAATTTATTTCTGTGCAACATGTAAACTTTTTTCAGATGAATGCGGCGGTTCATGTTATTATGTGTTTAACGTACCATGAGTATTGCGAGTTTATTTGGGGGCTTTTTGGGAAAGGGTTTTGGGGTCTTTTTTTTTTGTTACAACAGTGTGACCCGTAACAGCCCACCGAGAGGGTTCAAACAGTCTATTACACAACCAGCTGTAACACTGTTGGTTGGTTA